AAGCCTGGAAGATATTGTGAAACAAAATTCTAAGAATAACAGTTTAAAAAGTAGGAGGAAATACTGAGGGCAGAGGTTGCATGAAGTGAAACCTTAACCTCCCAGGAACAGATCAGGGCGTTCCCCCACCAGCCGGACGTGCAAGCACCAAAGCCACTGAGATAATGGGGCTTACAGGCACCAGCCTGGGACCACGGGAGCTGCCCTGCAGGGGAGGAGGGAAATCCCAGGCCCTGCCAAGTTGGGACTTGATTGAGGAAAAAATTGAGAAGATAGAACTCTCCTTTCCCCAGGCTGGATTAAAAAATGTTCCTATCTGCCTTCCGGGCCTTGGGGTTTCTCAGTTGAAAAATGCTTTGTTTGTGGCCTCTCTTCATCACAACCTGTATATTTCAAGAGTGCCTTTCTCTTAGGACTGAATATAAGGGGGAGAGAGAGAGGAGAGATGGTTCTTAGCAAACACATGTATAACCAGCGTTGCTCCAGGGCCATTAAGACCGCATTGCTGTTGCAGCAGCTGCCCTGTCTTTTCCACTCTCCTGCCTCGTAGGAGGACAGCCTTTGTGAATTTCCAGGCCTACTGGCTGTGCCACTGCTTTTTATTCCCCCAGCATCGTGGCTAGTATTTCTCAGACTGCTCTCACAGCATTGTTTTGTTATGCCTTCTTCATATTATTTTATGATTCCAGCTTCCTTTCTAGGGTGATAGATGGTTGGAGCCCATGTTTCACCATTAGCACAAGTGCCGCCTTTTAGTGAATATGTAGTTGATCTTGTTATAAAACATAAATACTTTAGAATATAATTAGCAGTAAATTGTAAGATAACAGGATATTTACCAAAACCAGATGAAGTTCAAGTGCATATAAACAACAGCAGTTGGTCCAGCCCTAACAAAGGTTGCATTGCATACTGACAAACCTGTACTGCATTGCAGTATACCGCCGTGTAATCAGAGCTTACAGTTCGCTCGATCCAGCAACTTTGAGATGATGTTACGTTTCTTGATGATTATTTTTTAATTTGAAGGAATTTGCATTATTTAAAATTTTGCAAATAAATTGAAATTTTACTGAGATAATTATATCAAACTATTTCACATGTGCATATGTAAAATTCACACACAATCTGATAGCAGTACACTGTAATAGGCAAGGAAGATTAGAGACTGAGCAAACCCAAGTTCGGTGCAAAGGCAGGTTTTTCTAAATAAACCGCAAAGTTGGAATTCAGAAGAGGAGAGAATTTTCGACCATTTCTTCTGTCTTCTGCTTCCTTAATCTTTGGTAGCCAGTTGATCTTTCCATATCTGCATTCCCCAACGCTGAGCCTGTCCCCTAATAGCTACCATTAATTCATTTTACTTATTCATCTATGAAGGTTCTATTCCATTTCCCCAGTCACCGGACCCCTCTCCCGCCTAACTCCATTCTTATAGTGAAGTCTGCATGTTTTAATTGGGGAATTTTATTTTTAACGTGGAACTTTAAACCATGCACAGAGGAGACTTGCCATAGAAGGTGATTGACTCAAGAAAACAACCTGTCCATCAGCTCAGCCGCTAAACAGCCAAACTGAACGTGGTCTGGCTACCTGAAAATGAGACATGCAACTCGCCGTGATTCTAAACGTATTTCTGGAACAGTGGTACTAGCCTTGCCTACCTCACACATGATTTTGAGAATAAGTGGGATTAAGTCTTCAGTGTATGAATTTTGGGGGACATAAACATTTGGTCCATAATAGTAGATTATTAAAATACATGCTTAAGGAAATTTTTGAGAAGTATTAAGTGTTTTGCAAATACAAGATGTTTTTATTAGTATTGTTGTATTTCTTTATTGGTAAGTTTCTAAACTTTTCTCCTATGCCTCGATTTCTAAGGAAACCAAATTCTTTCTGAGCGGTGTTCAGAAAAATAGAGCCCTAGTGCAATATGAAATTTAAGAAGCAAGATATTCAGTGTGCAGAGCATTGAGACTCTGTGACAACATATCCTGCCCTTTGATACTTATGCTACAATTTTCACAGCATTGCTGCCTTATTGTGTTGTGGAAAACCAGAGAGGCTGTGACACCGAGGCTATCTTAGGAAGTAGCGGTTTATTAGTGCCGACGCAACTCAGCAGGCTAATTGGTTGCAAATTGGTTACGATCTTGCACTTCCAGGAAAGCACTTTGTGGCTATTTAGTTTTCTCAGCCTCGTGTCTATTAGGTTTGGAGCCTGCAGGTTGATCTTTAAAAGCAATAATTTTTACTGTTTTTAGCCACTCTCTGCCACAATTGAAGTGCAGATATTTCCATTCAATAGAATCTGTCCATACCTTGTACAAGGGGGACCCAAAAAACCCAGAATTTGTTTATTAAAAATTTATTAAAATTAAAATTTTTAATTTTTTACTGAACTTTTTTAATTAAAAAATTCTTACATGTTTAAACTTCGGTCACCTTCAAAGTACTCTTTGTTTGATGCAATACACCTGTCAAGACATTTTTTTCCACTGCTCAAAACAGTTTTTGAACCCATCAATTTTGATGCCTTTTAGTGCTTCTGCTGTTTTTTGTTTCACCTCTTCCACATGGGCAAAACGTTTCCCTTTGAGGACTCTTGTTCGGGGAAACATGAAAAAGTCATTTGGGGTGAGATCGGGTGAATGGGGGATGGGGCATGGGGTCATGCTGTTTTTGATCAAAAACTGCTGAGCACTGAGTGTGGTGTGGACAGGTGTATTGTCATGGTGGAAGAACCAGTCGCCTGCTTGCCACAGTTCGGGATGTTTCTTCAGCAAATTGTGATGCAACCTTCTCAAAACGTCCAGATAAAAAATTTGGCTGACTGCTTGATCCGGAGGAACAAACTCCAAGTGTACTACAAGGGACCTGCCCTTCAAAAGATAATTCCAGGGTTTTTTTGGATCCCCTTTGTATACCACATACCAAAACCAAAGGACCTTGAGAGACTGGGAAACAGGACAGATATGTTTGATAGAAGGAGAGGGCAGGGCAGGATTTGAGTCATGGAGTACTAGTCAGGGCAGGAGGTGGTCTGGGTGGTGGAAGGCGGGGGTAAGCAATCTCACCTGAGGTCCTTCGGCAGCTGCAGAGGAGAGGAGGTGTTAGAGGCAGACAGTGGTGAGAAAGTGCTGGAACCCCTGTCAGGGATGCCCTGACTGAAGGTGGACCAGTGACAGAAGATTTGGAAGGGCAAAACCAAAACAGCCTTTTTAATTTCGTCACAGTGTCTCACACCTGTAATCCCAGCGCCTTGGGAGGCCGAGATGGGAGGACTGCTTGAGCCCAGGAGTTCTAGACCAGCCTGGGCAACATAGCGAGACCCCCTCTCTACAAAAAAATCAAAAAATTAGCTGGGCATGGTAGCACACCTGTAGTCTCAGCTACTCGGGAGTCTCACCTGAGCCCAGTAGGTAGTGCCTGCAGTGAGCCGTGATATTGCCACCGCCCTCCAGCCTGGGCTATAGAGTGAGACCCTGACTCAAAATTTAAAAAAACAACAACAAAAAAAACCTCTTCCTCCTTTACAGCTAATGCTGCCTTGATTGCCACTCACTGGGCATGGCCTCTGGCTCGTAATAGGCACCCAGTAGATGTTGAATGAATAGTTGAGTGTTTCCCCCACCCCGGCAACAGTCTGTCTCTCAGAGTACATCTTTCAACCCTGCAGAGTTTCCAGCATTGAAGCTTACTGGGGAAGATTCTACAAAAACGGATGGAAAGAACTTGGCATCAGAAGGGACATCTTGGGATCTTGGCTTTTCTAGAAATGGATCATTTAGACAACATGGTCATCAAAATGTCGTTTTCTCCCCAGTCATTTTTATTTCTTTTCACTCTTTGAATTGCTTTTTGTTTCTCCTGAGCACCTTTTTTCTCTTATCTAGGTTGTCATTTTGCTTTGAAAATGAAACGTTATCCAAGCACAATATTGCTTGCAGTGACTATAAGCAAAGAAAGCGACTAACACACAGGCCTTTTATGGCTGCAGTGATTTTCCTCTTTATTAGTCTTTTGAAAAGAAAGTTTCAGTGAATCAGTTATTGCACATTAATTGCCAGGACTTACAGAAAATGAATCATATCTTTGTGTGCTTGTGTATGTGTGTGTTATTGCTAGGGCCTGTCTTTTACTGTATCTATTAAAGCTGTAAGAGTTGTTTTAAAAACTGCTTTATAATTTTAGTATTTCAAATAAATCTGTTTCATGTTGTTTTTGAAAATGTCTCTTTTTTTCAGTAGTGTTAAAATAGCCCTTAGAGTGTATTTCCAAGGTGGCTTAATGATTAGAAGGAGGACTTGGTGAGTTGTTTCTGTTCTAGATTGTCAGTTCCATTACTTCGTTAGACTTGGAGCAGCATAATGTATCAGAGCTGAAAGGACTGTAGAGGTTGTGGACAAGGGCTTTTCCACCCACACCAACCTAGTCACCACTTTGATAATTTTTTTAATGTTAAATGCAATCTAAAAATCAAAGCAAATAAAATGAAATGGCATCACCAAAACTAAAGCAAAGCAATGGACATATTAGGAGCAGAACTTGGTCAAGACCCCAGACAGCCTGTCAGCAGGCCAGTGCTTGCCTACAACTCCCCTCGGTCTTTCAAGGATACTCTCGCCAACAAGCCGTCTTAGCCAGGGCCATCTCCCTGTGTCCTAGGATGCTGATCTCCAGGAAGGTTATGTCAACTTTACATCATTACAGTAGAACAGAGACGGAGGCCAGGAGAGACTTCCCAGATGTGACTAGTGTTTGTTTTTATTTTGTTTTCTTTTACTTTGTTCCGAATGTGTGTGCTGCCATGGCATAAAAACACTTCTGGGCATAGCTTCTGGGGAATAGATGGGGGAAAGTCTAAATCTGAAAATGTACTCGTTTTTGAAAAAAAAGTTTGGGTCTTTTATCATGTTGCCGGCTCTTAAGGATGGTTTTCTCTGCACAATTTAACAGGTCCTCTCAAACTTTGAATTTGTTCCTCTTTTTAACAGTGTATCCGGTGGTGAGCTGTTTGATCGGATAGTGGAGAAGGGATTTTACACAGAGAAGGATGCCAGCACACTCATTCGCCAGGTCTTGGATGCTGTGTATTATCTCCACAGGATGGGCATCGTCCACAGGGACCTCAAGGTGAGGCCAACACTTGGCAACACCCCCCAGCCACTATTCAACCCACAACGCACCTGTCCTAAGGGACTGGCTCCCTTCCTCTTGGGGGCTGAAGCCACTTTGATGTAGAGAGGGTGGAATGAATGGTGGGCGTTGGTATATTTTTAGATGTCAGGGCCTTTGGGACCCAGATGTAGCTGCGAAGAAGATGAAGATCAAATATGACTGGCCATTGTGAGATTTTACAACCATTCTGTAGCCAAAGGGCCACAGGGAGGTAGGTGTCTATCGCTTCAAGCTCGTCTTAAGAATCTTTTAGGACTCACAGGCCGCGTAAACCCTCCTCCTGGTGCATTTCTACAGTGCCCTCTCCAGTTCAGCCCCATTTCAGCACATCACAACATATAAAAGAAAAGCAGTGGGAGTTGGACGAGTGGACAGAGAGAGAAGGGGCTAGAAGGTTAGCAGCAAAGGTAGATTGGAAGAGCCACAACTGCAGCCCTCGCCCGGAGTCCCCAGGCTCCTTTCTTATCTTTTCCTTTATGAGGTTTTGGCATGTCGACCCCTCACTCATTAGCATGGAAAGATCCAGGCCTTATATGGGCACCTTAGTGTTACCTCCCCCTCCCCAGGTCTGTGTAGATACTGAGGGATAGAAACCAAACACAGCACCAAAGGGTAGCTGTCGCACGGATAGCCCAAGGTAGATACCACGCATAAGTACCAACGGAGACCTCACATGTGTGAACTTGAGAACAGTGAAAAGTGGCATGCTTGACCCAAGCTGTAATGAGCCTTCATTCTACAACAGTTACAGCTCTCAGAGCCTACTGCACCAGTCAAGAGAGAAATTCCGCCACTCGTGCCATAAACGCGAGGATTATATTCTCTGGAAGCCATGCTATGCACTTACCATGGGGTTCTCAATCAAGTTAAAGAGCCAGTCATCAGCATTTGTTAAAACAGAGTTTCAGCACCTGCCCATTATCTGCTACTGGGCACCAGTGGACAAAATAGTGTCACTTTCCTTTCATAGAGACTTGCTGTCACGCTTTCTTCCTATGTTGCCATGTTCCATTGTCTCGGGCAGGGGTTCCCAAATGTTAGGCCACATCAGAATCATCTGAGACCTTATAAAAACGGAGACGGCTGGTCCCACCAGAGGGCTGTGATTCTGTGGGTCTCCAGTGGGGCCTGAGAACCAACGAGTCCGCAGGTGACACAGACAGGTCTGGGATCCACCCTTGGAAAACTGCTGGAAGAGGGTATCGGGAGAGTCAGTGGAGCTGTTGCAGCCTTTGCCTGTGCAGGCTTCTGGACAGGAGAAGTGGCTGTGAGCATGGTCACCTGATCTTCAAGGCCTGGAGGCTCTGCCAAGGGCTAGGTGAGAGCTAGCTCAGCCAACCTGAGCTTCCAGAATACAGCAGGCAGCTCTCTGAACAGGTTTGCGTGGTGACCGCAGAGACATGGTGTGATGGACTGTCCATCTGTACTTACTAGAAACATTATTTCCAAGCAGTATGTGGGAGGTGCAGTGTCTGATCCCCCTTAGAGAGGCAGACAGGCTGTATGGGAGAGTGTTACTCCCACAATGCTTTTGGGGGAGTCCTTGCAGCTCCCAGCTTGCAGTACTCTGGGATCACTGGGCTTATAACTGTGGAAAGAACATTGCCATTGTAGGACCTTTTGGTGATCTCTTTTCACAGGCACAGAGGAGTTTGACCCAGGGGGAGGAAGTTAAAATTGGCCTATTAGATTTTCATAAACGTCTAAAAAACTGAAAACGGTCTATGTAATCTAGGCCAGAGCAGCAGAGCACATGATCCTGTTAATTCAAGATGAGCACACAGTCTGGAGTCCTGCCCCACCCCTGCCTGCAGATAGCTATTCTATGTCTTGTTGCCCCAGGAAGCTACTAGAGACAATCAGCAGTTATTTTTCAAAAGACTGAGACCAAAAGTGCCTACTACTACCACCTCGGATTAGAGTATGGTTTCTCACCTGCTGCACTACTGACATGTGGGACTGGATAATTCTTTATTGTGGGAGCCGGTCCTGGGCGCTGTAGGAGTTCAAGCGGCATTCCTCCCTTCCATCTGCAAGATGCCGCTCCTGGAACTGGGACAACTGAAAGTATCTCTAGACATTGTCAGACATATCTGGGGGGCACAATGGCCCCCCCCCATTGGGAATCACTGGATTAGAAATGTGGTGATGTATAACATTAACTTTGCCGGAAATGTGTTGATTCAGATCTTGTTAGAGCTTGCTATGTGGATTATTATAAAGGGTTGGGATTGATATTCCAACTCCAATATTGGCCACCAATTGTCTTGCAAAGATTCCATAATATATGGGGAAAAATGAGTCTTTCCAGTGAGCCCCAGTCTTCTTCGGACACCAGGAAGAATTGCAGTGTAGTGGGGGCCAGACCTGTGCTCCCCACTCCCGTAGCCCTCTGACTGTGGACTGGGGCCCCCATCTGATGATCCCTGAGCCTGTCCTCTCCCCTACCTTCATCCCTGCTCCTCCACTCCCAGTGCCCCAGGAAATGCCCTGTCTCTACTAAGTCTCAAGCCAGTTAACAGTATTGATCTAAACTGTGAATGACCAGTTGGTTTAACCCTCCTTGAGGGTAATTTTTCTTCTAAAGAGCACGTTACTGACTCAATTGAATCTCTTCTGTGAGGAATGTATAGATACTTTTGGCCCTTGGCAATCCCTTGCCTGGATTAAGCCTTGTTTAGCAACGTGAAGTCATTTACTTTCCATGCCTTCTCACTTATGTCTGCAGCTGCAGAAGTCCTGGAAGAAAAAAGATTAAAAACAAGCCGGGCTCGGTGGCTCGGCCTGTAATCCCGCGCCTTTGGGAGGCTGAGGTGAGTGGATTGCCTGAGCCTGTGGGTTCAAGACCCGTCTGGGCAGGCGAGACCTCATCTCTACAATAAATCAAAAAAATTAGCCGGGTGTGGCAGCACGCGCCTGTAGTTCTGCTACTTGGAAGGCTGAGGCAGAAGGATCGCCGGAGCCCAGCAGGTCGAGGCTGCAGTGGCCAGGAGCAGCCACTGCACTCCAGTCTGGGTGACAGAGTGAGACTCCAACTCAAAAAAAAAAAAATCAGAAACAACAAAAAAAGTCCTCTCTCAGTAGCTGCGATTAGTGTTTATCTTATCAAAGGGTAATCCCTAAACATCCAGAGAAAATGTGAACCACAGGCACTTTGTGGTTAGAGTATTTTCCTCCTCTGACCCAAGTATTACAGTGTTCCTAGTTTAACCATGGACAGACTGTTTGACTTTCTTTTTAAAAATCAATGAAAGCATTCTCCAGTATACATTTGAATTTCTTGTGATCTTTTGCTTTGTCCACAGAATTAGTCACTGTGACCATTTTTTTTAGATTAGAAAATATAATTCATTTAAAAGTAAATGAGAGAGAGAGATGATCTCTCCAAGGTAGGAGAGTGAGTAATGTGACAGTTAAATGCCACCTTTTGTGTGTTATTATTTTGGGTGGCAGAGAGTATTTTTCCTTTGGGCTCTGTTAAAGAACAAAATTATTTTGACACTTGTTAAAATGGTAAGGAAGCCTTTATTCAAGACTGTTGCAGTAGAGAGAGATTGAGTTTAACTCAGTACAACAAAGACGAGTGGGGATTTCTAGCCAAAGAGCTGGAAGAGGGTTGGTGGCTGGAAGATTACTAAGCAGACATGGGGTGAAGGGGATTCTTGCCTAAGGCAGGTCAAGGACTTCAACATAGAGAGGTTCCTTTGACCAAACTTGAGTTGGGCATGTCTGGGTCCTCTTTCTGACTAGGCCCTGCTCTCTGGCTCTGTAAATTGGTGCAATTTGGTCAAGAATCCTACTGAATCCGTTGAGCAGAAATCCCCCACCTTTGATAGCCAGTCACATTTCTAATGCCCCGACCTTGATGTCTGGTCACCCTGGCCTGCCTTCAGCAAGAATCCTGACAAGTGGTGTGAGGAAGATGAGGAACTCAGTCAGATACTAAGGGAGGTGGGATTCTCTCCAAACTGCCTTGGCCGGAGTCTTACTAAGACTGGGCTGTGCAGGCCTGGCAGGGGCGGGATGGACAAGGAAGGCCAAGGTTGAGGCCTAGGAGAGAGGAGGACCTGGGGAAGCCTGACTACGGTTTGGCCAAGGAGAGAGTCTTGTTCAGTTCTCAAGTCCTTTCTGGAGTCAGTAACACATCAGCATCCCCCTTGGAGCTCTGAGATCCACATGGCGGGGGCCCTTATCAGATCTACGTCTCCAGCCGGTTAATACCCTCACAAGACAGAGAACCACCTTTTCTAAACAGTCTGATCACTCTGCATAAGAATAGTCTATAAATCAAATTCACCACAAATCCCTTAGGAGAGAACGCTGCTGGGAGCCAATGGGAAAGTTGTGGGGAATTAAGATTCCCACTGAGATTCTTCACACCCCCATTTCCTTTAAGGGTTAGTGTAAACTTGGTTAATCTTCAGAATTACCCTGGTTTGTGGACAGCAGCAGAGGTATCAGTGCTTGACATTATCTCCCTCCATAAAAAATTTTCCCCATGATGATGAGTTTTCCCTCATCAAGTGCGACATTTCTTCAAACAACAGCAACAACAAAATATAGTCTTCTCTCTGAGTTCAAGTTCCTGCCTAACAGTGCAGGGACAAGCTCTGAGGCTGGAGTACCTCCTCTCCATAAACCCCACTCCTCTCCTTACTAGGAACAGTGCGACGTTCCCCCCCCCATTTTACATAAAACACTATGCAGATGATGCTTCATTGCATACCCTGTCAGCCCAGGACTGCACCCCTGAGCCCTTCCCTGCATTGCAGAACTAAAGACAGGAATATAGGAACTACAAGAAATACAAGGCCTTCGGTGTGCAGTACTGCATCCTGGACTCTGTCATGTACTCTTTAGAGAAGCAGACAAAGAATTGTCACAGCCCGTACTTCACAGAAAGGCAGACAGAAACTTGCAGTCCTTGAGGACACATGGCTGGAAAGTGCAACATCTGGAACTCCGGATTCTTCATTCCAGATGACACCCTCTGCTTCCCAGGGAGGGGGCTGAGCAGGGGTCAGTTGGCTTCAGTGAAGGGCAGCGCATCTGCCATAGGGCACCAGGGGATGCTGCTGAGCACAGGGTCAGAGCCCCTTGGATCCCCTTGGATTTCCGAAAAGGAACAAATCAAAAGGAGGAGAAGAGCACCAGCATGTGTTCACTCATGTCCTGAGAGTTCCCTTCTAAGGGAAGCTGAATCAGCAAGTCTGAGAGACATCAGCTTTCTAGAATGCCTCAAAATATGGTTAATTTTTTAAAGTAGAGAAAATGTGAATAAAGAAAAGGGACTAACGTGTCTGGAAAGCCTGTCTGTGCAGGGCCTTTGACACTGCTTTTGCTAACATGGCTTTAGTTGATGCTTCTGCTGTGTCTGAAGGTCAGGGTCAAGGACATCTTAACATTGTGAATAAGTTTTGAGGTTGGGTGAGTATTCCATGATTAACCCAGCTTTAAATGTGGTTTGTAAAATTTTATCTTTCTTTTTAGCCTGAAAATCTGTTGTACTACAGTCAAGATGAGGAATCCAAAATAATGATCAGTGACTTTGGATTGTCCAAAATGGAGGGCAAAGGAGATGTGATGTCCACAGCCTGCGGAACTCCAGGCTATGTTGGTAAGGACAGTGTGTGTGTACGTGTGTGTGTGCATGTCCCCGCACATCAACTCCATCAGTCTCCTTGAGTATCTGAGCCTGGCATGTGATCACAGATGCCTTCACTTTCCTTGAGGGAAGACTAAAAAAAAATGGGCAACACTGGAAAGTGTTATTAGGGAAGCGCTTTCTCCTGGAAACCCCTGAACAGCTGGGTGGAAGTCCCGTTTGATTTGGTTGGGGGCCTGACTGGAGGCTGGGAGGTAATTCCAAAGAATCCTCAAGTTCCAGTACCAGAAATACTGCATCGATCTGTTTTCGGGTAGCTTATAGCTAGATGACAACATGGTACAGACAACAAAACTTTCAAAACACTGGTAGAAGCAGCGGGAAGAAAATATTCACAGGAGTAGGCTGACTCAGACCTCCACACGGTCACACTCAGGAGTCAGTCAGTCCTGGTCTGTCCTGGCGACGCCAGGAACTAAAGTGTTTCCATAACTCCAGATTCTTTATGCCAAACATACAAAATGCAGGAAAGACTACTGCCAGGTCTCAGCACTTGGACTCTGAGATTCATGCTTTGTCTCCAGGGGTCCTGGAGAAAGACCACTGGCACTATGTAGGACTGTTCTGAGACCTTCCTTGACATTCGTGCATTCATTCACTCAGCAAATGTCCATGAAGTGGCTCCTGTGTACCCAGCGCTGCTGTAGGCGCCGGGGTCAAGGCAGTGAAGAGACAGACCCAGTGCCTGCTCTTATAGAGCTTACACTTTTCATTGGAGCAACAGACAGCAAAAAGGAACAAAGAAGTGAACAGGGTCATTTAGATCATAAGTGCTACAAAGAAAAAAAGGGGGGTGCGTGAAAGAACAAGGAGGCATCAGGAGGAAGTAGGGCGGGGCAGAGAGCACGGGGAGGGGACATGGACGTTGCTTTAGTGACAAGAAGCAGCCAGCCACATGGGAAGTAGAGGACAGCACTCCAGGGAAGTCACCAGCTCATGCCAGAGCCCTAACACAGGGAGAAGGCACAAGCTAAGTATGTCTGAAGCAAGAAAAACAGTGAGGTTGGAAAATGGAGATTAAGCCTGAATTCTTGTCATGCAAACCGTGATGGCCTTTCTTCACGAGCACAGCAAGTGAGCCCACCTGAAAGAGAAGAGGTAGTATTCGGTGACAGCATCATTCTTGTGTGTCTCTGGGTATAACCACAGGACCTTCCCAGGCAGGCTGAGGAGAGCTGGCCTCAAGCTAAAGGGGTGGGGCTGGGGGGACATGGAGCATTATGGGAAACTCCAGATGACTTTGGAGGCGCTTCACGGCCCTTCAAGTTCTGGCGTAGAATTACATCGTCATATCAGACTTGTGTGTCACAACTGCCTGTTTTCAAAGTAACTGCAAGGAGGGGAGAAGAGAGCAGGCTGAAGAGGGTGGAAAACAAGGTGAGGCGGGAGGAAGCCACAGAGATTCAGAGAAAGGAGATTTAATGGTGAAAACTTGAGAGGGGAGAAGTCATGGGGGTACTGTCTTGCGGGGACTCATATCTCTGGATTGTGTATAAGTAGTAGGCAGAGAACGAGGGTTGCTCTCTGATCGTTTTGAAGAGGTCAGTGCAGGCCGTGGTAGAGATTCAAGGCAGAGTAAGCGCTTATGTGTTCCAGAACAGCGCCATGATGGTTGTGGGAATGGCCTGGACTCTGGCTGGAGGACAGACACCCAGGGTGGAGACAGGGGCGGAAAGTCGGTGTGCATGGTGTGCGTGTGGAATTTCCTCAGCTCGGTCCAAGGCATCAGGCCAAGTGGAAGTCAGCAGCAATTAGAAATGGATGAGACAAGCTTATTCTCAGGCCTCTTTAAAACATGGAAGGAGAGCTGGGCTCGGTGGCTCAGCCTGTAATCCCGCGCCTTTGGGAGGCTGAGGTGAGTGGATTGCCTGAGCCCGCGGGTTCGAGACCTGCCTGGGCAGCAAGACCTCATCTCTACAATAAATCAAAAAATCAGCCGGGTGTGGTAGCGCATGCCTGTAATTCCGGCTACTAGGAAGGCTGAGGCGGAAGGATCGCTGGAGCCCAGCAGGTGAGGCTGCGGTGGCCGGGAGCGGCCACTGCACTCCAGTCTGGGCAACTGAGTGAGACTCCAACTCAAAAAAAACCCAAAAACATGGAGGGAGAAAGGTTGGCCTCTTCTGACCACCCTGAATCACAGACATTAGAAGGGAGGAGGCCTGCTAGGCCATGGTGCCCTGTATCCCTGACGGTGTTTGCTTTGCTCTTTCCAGCCAAGTGTCCAGGCTGAGGAGTGGCAAATCCTGTGGCCTGCCCAGCTGTCCCTGCAGGAGGTTGGCTCCTGGGCTGTGGCTCAAGGGTTCTGACATGGCATGTTCGTATTTACATATGCATCACATGCATCTCGTGTTTGGCTCTGATGTCGGAAAGTTTCAACACTCTCTAAAGTGAGTTTTGCTTCTCTAGGTGTTGGCAGAGCCCATGAGTGGCAGTTCTCTGGTTTTTAAGTGCTGCCCTCGAGGGGTCTGTTTGTGTTGATTGCTGTGTCTATGGCTGGTGAGTCAGGAAAGGGGTTTAGAAGTGGCCCTTGCTCTTGTTACCCCAAATGGTAGTCAGTGGAGCCACTGGGTAATTCTGTTGTCGGATACTGAGTGTTCTTTGGGTTGGGTGGAGAGTAGGACTCTAGGACTAACATTAGTCCATTGTTCATATTTATTAAGCACTGAGACTCCTGGGGGAGTCTGAACCTGGAGTGACCCAGGTAGAGGGAGACAACCTTAGGGTAGGGAAGGGACTGGGTGAAGAACTCGTATCTACAAGGACATCCCGTGGGCAGTCCCCAGCTGAACTTGGGCTGTTTTCTCCCTCACGGTCTTCATGGCAAGCTCCTATTCAGCCATCAAAGCCCAGCTTAAATGTTACCTTCTTCAACTGCTTTCCAGCTACCCCATCCTCTCCTTCGTCATTCTGGTTCTTTTCCTTGGCCCCCTTTTCATCGCGACTCTGGTCACATTGCATTAGGGTCCCTATTTATCTGTGTCTCTCCTCCTCCACTCCACTGTGGGTTTTTCTCAAGCAGAGATTATGTCTTATTCATCTTTGTGCAGACGCTTGTTGAATTGAATAAAAACACAAGGCTCGTGAATACTAGCAATTGTTTCTCTCTCTTCTCCTTCCATTCATTCAGCATGCATTTATTGAGTTCCTGATGTGTGCTGTGTACAGTTATCTCTCAGTACTATGGGCTCTGACTCCAAGTCATGTCCCCTCAGCCGCCTCAGATGACACAATCTGCAGATTCTCAAGTCCTTGATGCAAAATGGTCTGGGCCCGGGGGTAGTGTTAGCCTGTGTAACCGGGGCATGTCCTTCTGCATAATTTAAATCATCTCTAGATAGCTTATAATACCTAATACAATGTAAATGCTATGTAAATAAATAGTTGTTATACCTTACTGGTTTTCGTTTGTATTATTTTTATTTGCTGATAGATATATTCTATTCACGGTTGGTGAATCCATGGATACAAGGGCTGACTGTACAGTATCTGGTGTCAGGATACAAATATAAATAAGGTACAGCTGACCTCAAAGTGTTCAACAGTATTGTGCAAGAGAGAGGGAAAGCAGGTAGATTTAATCATGAATGGTAAGTGCTACGTTACTCATCCCTTCAAGAATTATTTACTTAGTGCCTACCTTCTGTTTTAGGCACTGGGGTTGCATCAATAAAAGGAAAAAAAAACCAAAACTTTCCATCCCCATGGCACCTATTTGAGCAGGAAGGAGACAGACTATAAGCAGATAGCAAAGTTCACATGTGTGTTAGGTGGCTTTCAGTACTGCGGAGAAAATGAAGCAGGGAAGAGGGAAGAGGTGTGTGTGTCGAGAGGGCGGTGCCGATGTTCAACGAGTGATTGGGCAGCCCCCACTGAGAGGGTGACCGTGGGGTAAAGATGAGATGGATGCGAAGCTGCTGGCGTGCCGTTCTTTGAGGGAAGAGCATCCAGGCACAGGGAGAGGCCTGAAGGCCCGAGTGTGTGGGCCCGCAGTGAGGAGCAGGAGGGACAAGAAGGAAAAGAGGGTAAAAATCAGAAAAGTCGTGGGCAGGGGGTGTGGACCAGGATTTCACTGTAAAGACTTTTTGTTACCCCGTAATGGGTAGCCATCAGAGGCTTCTGAGTTAAGGCTTCAGAATCCCTCTAGAACAAGGACTGGCCTTGGGACAGCCGGCCCGGGGAGGATCAGGTCAGGGTGGAAGAAGGAGACCAGTGAGAAGAAGACCCTGGCATTGATCAGGTGAGAAATAGTCGGGGCTTGGACCAGGCTGGCTGCAGCAGAAGTGCCAAGAAGCTGTCAGATTCCAGATGTATTTCAAGGGCGCTATCTTCAAGATTTCCTGAAAGATTGAAAGCAGGGTTTGAGAGAAAGAGGCCAAGAATAATTCTAAGGGTTTTTGGCCTGAGCACCTGGAAGGTTCAGTTGCCTTTTCTTGGGGAGAGCCCATGGGATGGGCACATTCCCAAAGGGCCAGGAGGAGTTGGGTTTTGGTTAGTCAAAACTTGCTGTGTCAAGGCAGCTGGAACGTGAGTCTGGAGTTCTGGGGAAGGATCCGGTCTGGAACCACATACAGTCTGTTCTACTTATTCGCATCGTTATGTTCTAGAAAGCAGCTGTGAACACTGAGTTTTAGTGAATACTGACCCATTGCCCCTAAGGAAACGCAGGAACCTCTGGTCACTTTCATCAGCCGATCAATATATGACCTGTTATTGATGTGTGTTTCTGTTCAAAGATGCCCCGTTTATTATATACGGTCAAGGCACTCATGCTGGACTCATGGCCCACGGACTGTAACTCTTGCCTGAAGGAAGCTTCTCTAACAGTTTCTCAGTGAAACACATCACAGCCTTCTTGCACTTTAGAGCACTGGATGGCACTTCAGCACGATGCCTGGGGCCGTTTTCCACAAGGAAGTCCTGAAGTGGAGAAGGAGAGGACCCTTGTTACAGTC